GATAGATGATAGATAGATAGATAGATAGATAGATAGATAGATAGATATTTACATACATCATATATACAGAGGGTGCCAAAAAAGTATACACATTTTAAGAAAGGAAAACTGTATTAAAATTGTAATACTCAGTATATACCAATAACAAAAGATGAATACAAGTCACCTTTGACTTCTGCAATTACAAGAGGTGCTCAAAGTGGTTACCATCAGTGTCCAGACACTTCTGATTACAGAAACTGCTGCTTGAGCAATATTGACCAAAGTGTCCACTCATATACATTATTTTGGCACCTCTGTTATATACATGAAGTCAAACTATTAAGTTCGCGAACTTTCCACTGTCTAGCAGCATGGTGGAAGTTCGTGAACTTAATTGTCTGAACTTCAGACATATATACACTTATTTTCTGACCCATATATGTATATAAATAATATATAATACCTATATAAATCATACATATGGATCAGAAAGAAAGTGTATATATACATATATAATATTTATATAACCACTCCCCAAAGTTGGCAAAAGACATAAACCTATAGCCTCAAGAAACTGAGCAATCTTCAAACAGAATAAGCCCAAAGAAATCCATACAAGACACATCACAATCAAAATTTTGAAAACTAAAGACAAAAATATATATATATTGAAAGCAGCAAGTGTGAAAGAATACCTTACCTATAGAGAAAAGAAAGGCTAAAATAATAAATCTTGGAACATCACGAAGAAAGAAGATGGAAAGAGCAAAAGTAGGGGTAAGTAGAATAGACTTTTCTCCTCTTGAGTTTCCAAATTTATGTTTGATGGTTAAAGCAAAAATTATTAAATTGTCTGATGTGGCTCTCAATAAATGTTGAGGAAATATTTAAGATAATTATAAACAGGTGAGGGGAAAGGGCCTTAAAGGGAAGTAGTTTCTAGGTTTTACTCAACCTGATAAAATGTCAACATTAATAGACTGTGGTAAATTATGTATGTATAAAGCAATATCTAAAGCAACAGCTAAAACATCTGAGCAGAGATACACCAAAGTGAAACTCTAAGGAATGTTCAAGTAAATCACAGGAATGCAAGACAAAGGAAACAGAAAAAAATGAAAAGCAAAGGGAACAAACACAACAAAAAATATAATGGCAGACTTAAGAACTAACATACCAATAATTACATTAAAGATAAATAGACTAAATACAGCAATTAAAAGACAGAGATTGGCAAAGTAGATTTTAAAAAATAAGCCAATTACGTGCTGTTTACAGGAAACTTAATTTAAAAATAATGATATAGGTAGGTAGTAAAGTAAAGGAATGGAAAAGATATAGCATGCAAACATCAAAGGAGAGCAAGCTGGTTCTGCAGCTTAGGAGAGGTTTGGCAGTTCCTCAAAAGGTTAAACATATAGTTACCATATGAGCCAACAATTCAACTTCTAGGTCCCAAGAAAAATGAAAACATATGTCCATATATAAACTTGTACAACAATGTGCACAGCAGCATTTTTCATAGTAGCTACAAAGGGAAAACAACCCAAATGTACATCAACTGATAAATAGATAAAAGAAGTGTAGTATAGCCATACAGTGGAATATTATTTGGCCATAAAAAGAATGAAGTACTGATAAATGCTCCAACATGGATGGACCTTGAAAATATTACACTAACTGAAAGAAGCCAGCCACAAAAGGCCACTATTGTATGATTTCATTTATATGAAATGTCCAGATATAGAAAGTAGATTAGTGGCTTCCAGGGGCTAGAGGGAGGAAGGAATGGGGAGTGACTGCTAATGGGTATAGAGTTCCTTTTTGGGGTGATGAAAATATTCTAAAATTAAGTAGTAGTGATGGTGCATGACTTCGTGAATATATGAAAACCACAAAATTGTACACTTTAAAAGTGTGAATTTTATGGTATGTGAATTAAATTTCAATAAAGCTGTTATTAAATAAAAAGTATCCAAACAACAACAACAAAAGAAAGCAAGAGTAACTATATTAATATTTTATTGTAATAACCCTGAATAGGAAACAACTCAAATATCCTTCAATGAGTGAAGGGTTAAATTGTGGTACAGATGCACCATAGAACACTACTCAGCAATAAAGAGGATGAACTATGGATATACACAAAAATGTTGGATGGATCTCAAGGGCATTTATGTTGAGTGAAAAAAGCCAGTCTCAAAGTCACATCCTATATGATTCCATTTATATAACATTCTCAATATGACAAAAGTATAGAAATGGGGAACAGATTCCTGGCTGCCAGACATTAGGGATAATTGGGTAAATATGACTTGCAGTCACAAGGGAGATATTTGTGGTGTATCTTGAATGCAGTGTTGGTACTTGAATCTACACATGCAATAAAATGTCATAGAGCTATATGAGGTGTGATCAAAAGATATGGTGAATGTTTAAAATTTTAAAAATTATTCCAATAAAAGACACAGTGCCATTAATCCCCCTCAAAATACTCCCCCTTGCTTCAAACACACTTATCCCATCATTCTTGCCACTTTCTGAAGCAGTTCTGGAAATCCTCTTTCGTGAGTGTCTTTGCTTCGTCTTCCACCATGACAATGCTCCATGTCACACATTGCTTGCAGTACGGCAATTTCTGTCAAATAAGAACATTATGATGTGTCCTCATTCTCCTTATTCACTGGATCTGGCACTGTGCGACTTCTGGCTTTTTCCCAAAGTCAAAATGACCATGAAAGGTAAATGTTTTAAATCAATGCAGGACATTAAGGCAGCCATGACAGTGCAACTAAAGACACTCATGAAAAAAGATTTCCAGAACTGCTTCAGAAAGTGGCAAGAATGATGGGATAAATGTGTTCAATGCGAGGGAGAGTATTTTGAGGGGGAATAATGGCAATGTGTCTTTTACTGTAATACATTTTTTTTACTTAAACATTCACCATATCTTTTGATCACACCTTGTATACCTTGTACCAATGGCAATTTCCTTTATTTACTATTGTAAGATGTAGCCATTGGGGAAAACTGTGTGAAGGGTACATGGGTCTTCTGTGCTGTCTTTGTTATTGCCTGTGAATATTAATTATTTCAAAATAAATTTTTTGGTAAAAAACCATTTGGAATTTGAAAGTTAAAAAATTTCAGAGCAATAGCATTATTTTGAATATTAAATACTCTGGAATAAATTTTACAAAATACATTCAAGACCTGTCATAAAAAACTACAAATCATTGCTGAGAAAGTAAAGAACTCAATAAAGATATACTGTGTTCATGGATTGGAAGTCACAACATTGTTATGATATCAATTCTCCCCAAACTGATCTATAGGTTCATTACAATTCTGATCAAAATATCCAAATATTCAGTTAATATATGAAAAGTAGCCCCATCTTATTCATGATTAGGAAAATGTAAATAAATGCATTATCATGATGAATGCTACTTGCCATGATCAGATTGACAAAAATTTCAAAGTCTGTACATACCAAATGAGGACCACCAAATGGGCAAAAGCAGAATTCTCATATACTGTTGGTAGAAATATAAACTAACATATAAACAGGGAAAACAAAATGGCAGCACCTACTCTACTAAAAGCACATATACTCCATTACTCAGCAATTCCAAAAAATTTTTATACATATGAATATGGAGACATTTACAGGAATGTTGTCCAAAGAGCTGTTTGTAACATTGAAAACAAGAAACAAATATCCAACAATAGGGAAATAGTTAAATAAAAATAGTATATTTAGTCATATGATGAAAGAATATGCAGCAATTAAATTGAATAAACTAGATCCGAGTATAGCTGTGCAGGTAGAATTAAAAGACAAAATTGAGTTTAAAAGCAAGACATAGAAGGACATGTTGCACACTGTGTGCTATGGCCCCTCACAGCGTGAGCTGATCATAAATTCCTAACTGGGAAGGCAGATCATGATGGGCAGTCATACAACTTTAGTAAAAGGCTTATCTTTGCCTTAAACAAGCCCTGTCCATTGTTTTTGTGCATCTAGGTTAACATGCCTTTGAAATGCCTCTTTTTCAGACCCCTCAGAAGCATAACCACCCTAAAGAGAGCACATAATCTTGTTAACTACCCTGTAATCCAATCCCCACCTTGTTTCTCCCACCTTCAAGTAATCTTCCTTATCTTTCCTCCTTAATTCCAAATGCATAAAGAAACTGCAAACTGTCATTCTCCAAAGCATTTTTCTCAGTCTGTTAAGATCTTGCTTCCAGGAGTATCCTCTATTTGGTTCAAATAAACTCATAAAATTTTTTTACAGGTTTGGACATTCTTATGTTGACATCTTTTAAATTTCTTTTTAAAATTAGAATATGCATAAGCTTATAAATAAAATAAAATACATTACTTGAGAACAGTTACTGTTTTTCAATTCAAAGAAAATATTGACAGAAAAGAGAGTGAGAGACAGATGAATGGATGAATGAGTAGATAGACTAACAAATAGGCAGGCTGAACAATTCATGATTCCTATTTATATAATTCACAGTCAATGTATCATTCTGTAATTGTAATACTGAAAATGTTGTCCCCAGTATTCATTCCTGATTTATTTAGTAAACAATGATTAATACTTGAGCATATGCTGGACATTGATATAAGTGCTTATGAGACACAGACGAATAAGACAGATACTATCCTTGAGGATCTCAGTCCAGTAAGGATGACAGATGCAAAAACTTATTCACAAGACAATATAAAGCATTTTACAAGAGATAGAAATGTGACTACAGTGAGGATGAGTTACTCGAGTTGCCTAGGAGAGTGTCAAGGAGGCCCTCACATAGAAGAGATGACATTTGAGACAAATTTCAGGTTCAAAACCAAGTCTGAAACCTCCAACTGAAGGCTTAAAACCCATTAAAATCTGTATTCTACAACTTCTCTGTATTTTTCTGTAGTCCAAATTCTTCTATAAATTCACACCTATCACATACCTTTTAAAAGTCTGATTAAACCCCAAATGAGTCTTGTCTCACCTTTGCACGTTTTTCATCTTCTATGACTGCCAATTTTTTCTTCTGCTTATTATATTCTTGTCTTCTCTCTAAAGTACTCATAATTTTTTCATCAGTTAAGTTCTTCCTAAACTCACAAAACTGAGGCCAAAATTTAAACAGAACTCCAAAAATTGTCATCTGTATAAAAAAACAAAGTATGTCTCAGATTACAATTTTATACAAATGTACCAATTTAAATTCTAATTCACCATAATAATGGATTAACTATTCTATCTTTAATGCACAGCATGTTTCCTCCAACTTATTGTCTCCAGACATCTTGGTATAGTTTAGCTCAGCACATGCTTATCATCAATGTTTTTTACTACCAATGAGAAATCTTTCTTTGAAAAAAAAAAAAACATACACTCCCATACACTTAAAAGTCACTTTATCCTTTATGTTTACCTAACCAATTGATTGTATTAATAAAGAATCCATTAGGTCTTTTTAAATAAGAAATTTATGTTTTCTTTTAAAACATATACTAGTTGATCTGCCACACACTCTGCTGTTTTATGCAAGTATTCCAAATATTCAGTTCATCAAGGGGGAACTCCTCTCCACCCCTCCCCTTTCTTTCTTTTAGAGAAAGGAAATACCATTTTGCCTCTGGAAAAGCTCTTAAACAAAGCTGCAGATCTAAGAATAAATCTTGAGTAACTTTTAAATGATACAATCTCTCTTTTATGTGTGAGCAAGAAAAGTAACATTTAAAAAGCAGAGTGGTATCCTGGACAAATGCTTTCCATGAGGACACTCTACAGTAAATGATTAATTGTGATATTTATAGAGATAAGAATTGTTGCTCAAATTCCCATGCCAAGTTTTTCCATTAGTTCCAGAGGCATACATTACTTCCAAGAAGGTAGGACTTGCCACATCAGATCAGTCCAACATCTTGTTGCTAGGAATGGCCTTTCCCTAATGCCCTGGAGAAAAATGAACCATCCCATTAGGCTCCAGGCCAACTCTTCAGAGGAAAAGAGGAATTTTTAAAAAAGTAAATGCTGCAGTGATCAACAGAGCTCTGAATTAGTATATTTCATTACTCCTCTTTTCTGTACATGGATATTATTAGTAGTTTTAAAATTATTTACTCCTTTTAAAATACTTTGTCACTGAACTCTGTAACCTCTTGGGATTGTGAACAGAAAAGCTAGAGATACTTTATTTGATCAAATGCCGGCTTTTCATTTTTTTTTTTCATTCATCTCCCATGCATTTAATGAAGTGATCCCCTGCTCCAGTGTTCAGGAATCATGGTACTAGTTTTTATAAGAATGTCTTAAACTTAGATACTCCTCCTCCTCTGCTTACCAACTATCGACACTACTTCTCAGTTATCTCTCCAAAACTTGAGCCATTCCCAACTCTCAAATATATTTCTTACCATCTAGAAGGCATTTCAGTAAAAGTCACTGGATTAAGACAATTTTTCAAAGGCAAACATAAAATTGCTCTATTCCTAAAAGCTGCAATTACAATTTTAGGTTAATAACATACATGTCATTTGTGAAAATTATCCTGTACTTCCAGAACCTTAAAAGATAATCAAACTGTGGGTAAGAAAATGTTTTACTAAATATGGATCTACTTTGCTCACTGCCAGCAGATGGACAATGGCTTTAGTGTGAATAAAAAGGTTAGTGATGAGAACTTTGGCTGAGTGATGAGAACTTTCAAGCTAATAGGGGTGCAGGTGTGGGATAGGCATCAGCTACACTGATAAAATATTAAACCAGCCAACAATTTTTAATTTACTATTTAGCTTTTTTGCTCAACTTTGCTCTCATTTCCAATTTGATCTTACTCCTTTCTGTTGTGATAGACCTCTCCTCACATCACTCATTCACGTGTTCAAAAACTGTTATCGAGTGCCTTTTCTGTGCCAGGCATTCAGGCCACAAAGGAAAAAAGAAACAGTCCCTGACCTCAAACACCTTACAGGTAAAGGAAAGTCAAGCGTGAGAGTAGTCATTTTCAATTTTGTGTAATAAATGCTGTTATAAAAGCACAAGGAAGAAAAGATGACACTACAAAAAGCTCAATAAGGAAGAGTAAGGCCCCTGTATGGAACTACAAATATTTCAGTAAGACTGCAAGATAGATGGCAGGGACTGGTAAGAGATGTGGTTAGAGAGCTATGTAGGAAGGAGTATGGTCTTCATTCTGAGGACAATGGGGAGTAATTGAATTTGAAAGCAGAGAAGTGACATGATCAGATATACATTTTGAAAACGATGGCTCTGCCTGCAGAGAGTTGAATGCTTTTGAGAGAGCCTAGAGACAGGGAATTTTGGTAATCAATGTGAGACATTACAGATCAGCACTGAGGTAGTGGCATGCAGTTGGAGAAAAGTAGACAGAATGACAGATAACAAGGAGACCAAGGGACTGCAGATATGGGGGTAAGAGGATGAAGGAGAGGGAACACATAGAGAGGGCACCAGATCTCTGGCTTTATACCTGGTTAGGAGGTGAGGCCATTCTCTGAGCTTGCTTAGGAAACACAGGAGGAATAATAGATTTGGTGGAGTAAGGTTCCTAAATAGATACTATCTTATTTTCTGATGTTCCTTAAGTTCATATTTAAGATATGCCTAAGACTCCATTTTAGGAAATCAGGTAGAAGGCAGAAACTAGAATATTCCAATCAAGTTCACTGCTGCATTCCCTGAACAGCGTGGCAGAACCAACCAGTGTAATCAGCTCCAGACATTCACCATCAGACTTAAGGTCTTTGATTTTTAGATGGGCAAGCCCTGGCCTGGTTATCAGGAGACTGAGGCTAGGCTAAGTGATCTCTAAGATCTTTTCATTAACAGATGCTACAATTCTGGCACCATGTTTTCTCTATTTCTCTCTAGCACATCCTCAATCATTCCTCTATATTTTTGCCTATTTTAATGCATAATTTGGATTGTGAGTCCACTTTCAGTTCCTTAGGGGACTTAGAACACAGCTGGCTCACAAATGAATGTTAAGGAATAATGGCCTTTCTCCATGCTCATGGGCAATCATACTCTAAATCTCTGTTTCATATCACTTAAATCATGACATGGCCTTCTCTATTACCTCTATTATAATTTATTTTTCTTAATCATTTTTCAGGAACAACATCACTAAAAGGCTTTTCAAAATGCAAATAAATTATGTTCACCAAATCACTGTTTTCTATTATTTATCTTAAAAAGAGGTAACTTGAGCAGGTTAACAGGCATGATTTTCCTTTTATGAGGGTTGTGTACTTTATGTTGGTCAGGTACTTAAATCTCCTCTCACTTATTTTATGAGCTATGTGAATATTCCAATCTTTAAAAATACACAAATCTTGGGGCACACATATTTCACACATTTATGTGGTAGCAGATATTTTAGAAGGAAATAAGAATGGTGGGAACAGGAGCAGGAATTAGCTGGAATTTTAAAAATTAGAAAAAAATTGGTAACCATGAAAAGTCAAAGTACAGTATTTAATAATTTTATTTGTTATATATTATCAACAAAATGTCAATTACTAGTGTCTTATGTTCTATGACATATGCAAAGATTTTTCTAATTAAATAGAATAAATTCCAGTATTAGGAGGATTGCAACCTTGCTAAATATGAATAATGCAAAAATTTTAAAAGAATATCTAGACTGTCAATTTGTTTTCAAATATGCTCAGTCATATGCCTCAATCTCTTACCTGTGCCTCTCTAAATACATATGGTCCTAGCTCCTTCCTGTGTTCAATAATCTTCTGGGCTTGCTCTAAAGGAATGTCAATTTGTAGAGCTGGTGGAATGCTGGAATTAATAAAGCAGTTGATAATAGTCATGATCTTCTTGTGGATAATGGACTCATCACAATGAGAATGGCACAAGTCCTGGACAAGGAGGAAAGACAGAACAATATATGATTAAAGTATTACTAGAACACTTCAAAGGATTGTGTCAATATGTCTTTCAGCTAATATATTCATTTTAATTCCAGGTCAAGAGGGCACTGGGACCTGCCAAGTCTATCAAAAAATCATAGCTTCTATTTCTCTTGGGTTTGAGGAACCCAACGTTGATGAATATACCTTACGTAAATATAGGTTTCATTTAATTCTGATTGCTTCTTCTCCTAGGCAAAGAAACACATCTAGTGTCCACTTTGACTCATTTAACAAATATATACTGAGTGCCTGCTATATACCAGACACTGAGCTAAGCCCCAAGATAAAGTACCTGCCATTTAAAGGCGCAATCTCAACTGGAGGAGAAGCATGAGAACATGTTACTCCAATTTGAGATTGTTAATAAGCGTTATGATAAAGGTACACACAGGGTTCTAGGAAAGCCCTGAAAACAGGCCCTTAACTCAACTCATAGGTAGATGCAAAAGCTTTTTCAACCATAACTGCTTCAGTACCAAGGGGATTTAGGCTTAAAACGGCTAGCTATATAAAGGGAATGCAGGTGGTGATGGGTGTGTCAGTATGCATCACTTAGTATCTATATATTTTTTTCTCTTAAAGGTATAATTTTATTAAGTTTTTTTTTATTGTTAGTTTCAGGTGTACAGAACAATGCAATAGTTATCCTTTTCACCCTCACAAAGTAACAATCCCCCTTCCCCCATCTATTGCCCCCCCTGATATCATGCTTATCTATTACAATTCCATTGACTTCATTCCCACTCTCTACTCCATGTCCCGTGATTATATGTATATATAATTATAGTTGACATACAATATTATTCAACATCAGCTTCAGAAATACAGTGCGGTGATCAGTCCTCCACACCAACCATGAAGTGGTCTCCCCCACAAGACATGAGGCCATCTGGCCCCCTAAGAAATATTTACAACATTATTGATTATATTCCTCAGACTGTCTTTTTCTA